CGTGAAGGTAGATGGAGAAAAGAGAGAGAGAGAGAGAGAGCGAGAAGAGGGGGGCAACCGGGAGCCGAGGGCAACAGAGGGGGATAGACGGAGAGCGAGAAAGACGCGCTGAGGGACGCGATAGCGGGAGGAACAGGAGGTGTACGGGAGGTGACCGGTGTACCAGCTCGGTTCTGCGAGACTCGTGGAGCAATCAATAGGGTGTTTCGGGGATTCGGGAAACCGGCGCCGACGTTGCCACAAACATGGCCGCCGGCAGCCCCTGCGTTCCGTTGGTGGTGTTCTCCTACGTGCCCAGAACCGGCTACCGGAACGCGAGACCGTTCCGACATGGAAATCGAGGCGTAGGCGTTTTCCATCGACAGAAAAGAGACACGCTCGTTTTAGAACCGTCCTTCTGCCCCCGCTGCAGGAATCCCCTGCGAACGAGCGACGCCTCGCCGCGACGATCTTTAATTGCGCGGTTTTTAATGGGCCGCGGCTTAGACCGGGAACACCGCTGCGGTTACCGACGCGGAGGTTTTATTATTCCGCGGGCAAGTTCGATTGAAATTAAAGTTTCCGCGCTGATGAAATTGACTTCCGTCGGAATTAAGAGTTTCGCTCGCCGGGAGGGAACCGTACCACCTCTGCGCCGGTAATCTACTTCGCGGGATTTACATACCTTGTCTTTGAGCCGTTCGAGATATTCAAATTGGAAGATCCACCTACGTGCGCGTAGCGATGCAGTTGGTCTGTTTAGTTTTAGATTATTGGGGAGAATGTTTGTTGGGTGTAAGGGATTATCATTGTTACGGAAATATCGTATAATTTTTAAATTACCTTAAGTGGAAAGGTCATGTTGAAAAGTAGGGTAACGAAGTGGATGTCTGACTGCAAACGGAATGAAACTACTTCTACGTTCTAATGCAGGCGTTGTTAATTTTAAAGGCCGACATAAATATTCAGTATCTGAATTTGCATTTCTGAGTATCTTCTGAGTCTATTTTACAATATTTATCAAATTACGGGTAAGAGTTCGAGAATGTTTTCTTTTTTTAAATTCACTGTTGAATGATGGGAACGTTGCTTCAGTGGGGACATTGTTTTAGCATGGTTTTCGTTGTAACTTAGTTGTAATAGCATTCTGTTCCCACTGTTTTTTAAAAGGTACTGTTAAACAAAGTTTTTCATTCGTCTGTGTTCTACTAAATGATCACTTAAAATGTAGAGTTTGTGATTTATTTACTAATGGAAGCTACGTCATTAAAATGTATAAATGTTAAAGAAAATGGAAAGGATAATGTATATACATTGCTGAATAGTTATTCTACTTATTAATTTCCATGCGTAAACCATGTGATTATGAAATTTATATGGAATTTAAATATGTAAGGAACACGTTGTCGTCTTCAGAAGAATAAAATTCAAATACATACATTCCACTTGAGATAGAAAAGGTTACTTTCAACAAGAAACTCCTTTCAATTCAATCCCAGGGAGAAAAGTTTAGATTATCATAAAGACATCTGTTATATGTCAAGCATCAAAGTTAGAGTATACAGTTTATTTTATTCCTTTTATCAATGTCATAGTAATATTTGAAAAACGCAAAATAATTTTAATATTATTGATAATTCCGATTTACATTCCTAATTAATGTTCAAATTAATATTGATCTTTATGAAAGATAATTACTCAATTACATCGATTTTTCTGCTGACTTTTTAAATATCTTTGAAGTACTTTATCGTAAAAACGTATCGAGACATCAGTTAACAAATTCTTCTATGATTTATCGCGCACTTGGGATGATTATCACACTAATCTGTAAAAGCCAACGTCGATGACTTTTAATAAGGAAACGCGGCAGTCACGTAGAAATAATTTTTTCGAGATACCATCTGAAACTTCGAAGATTTCCTCTAAATTAAATCGTCATATAAAATCTGTTTCCAGTCACGTACATCACGTATACTTAATCACTTCAATTGAGTCACCTCGAAGTGACTCGTCATATAATTACGATGTTTAACTTTTATGATTTATCTTTCGTAACCGTTTTAAAACAATTGGGGTAACAGTAAAAGAAGAATTCCAGATTTCATTAATGATCGTGAATATCCTTTCATTAGTTATTGCCTTTTAAGTTACTTTATATAATATTGTAATGTTATTCAATACACATTTTAAATTTACGATAATTTTAGTATCAAACTGAATAATACACGAATAAATCGTTTTAGATTTTTTATAACCCATTCCTTCAATTTATGTTATATTATATATACATAATAATTTACGCAATACAATACATATAATATATATATTTATTTATTCTTTGCAATTCATTATGTCTAATATTTCGTATAATCTGGTCAAGGTATGTAATCCAGTAACTTCAGGCAAACAATTGTTATCAATATATGTATTAAAGTTTATAAAACGGTAACTTTAACAATATCACCTTCAAAAACCCCAGGAGTTACTGATCCTTTCAATAAAATGACGCGTATGCTTGAATTTCAGGTAGAAATGACGGGATCAAGCGTTTTTGATTATGTTCATCAGCAAGACCACGCGGAAGTCGCCGAACAATTAGGCCTCGGTTTAACCTCGAGCAGTTCTTCCGGTCCGCACTCGTCGAGCTCCGGATTGGCGTCGCCAAGCAGCGCCGCGTCCGAAGAACATGGTTCGTCTTCCACTGCAAATCCCGACGGTAAATTTTTTATTATACTAACGTCATTTCAGCTGAAATTACCGACTGATATAGGAAAAATTAATGCAAGATGTTTAAGAGTAACGGATGAAACATGTTTGAATCATTTATTTGAACTCCGATGGGAAAATATTAAAGAGCAAGTATATGTATGAAGGAAGTTACTGACTTGGGGGTCATTAGTAATTAGTAATCAGAAGCTTTGCTTGAATGTATGTGGAACATTTAAAATAAATCAGGCATCTGGATATTATACACATCACAAGATTTCGAATTTCAAGTGGCAGTACTATCGATTGTAAGAAATATCAAATTGTAATGAATTTAAATAATAGCATTTGACTCAAAGGGAATTTGTATTTTCAGGTTTAAAACAATTTAAAATAAAATATGATCTTATGGCACCTTGATTTTTCAAATTACAATCTTTGATTCATTTAGGTACATATATTTTTCGAACTATTTTTAAAGGACAATCAGTGTTTGAAAAAAATGCAGATGTAACGTGGTAGAGTAAGTGAGTTTGATCACTGATACTTCTTCATATTTGCGCTAATTATTTACAGCTTCCCCATTAGATTTCAAATAAGCGATTATAATTATTCAATGCTCTATCCAAAGGGTATTTATTTCTAAATGAGGTTAAAAATAGCTACTTAGCCTTTATAATGATAGTTACATCGAATAATAAACTGTTTGGATAAGAAACGCAAGAAGACACATGAGAAGTAAAAATGGCAACCGTCTGCAGAATCAACTTGAAGAAACATTTTCACTGGATTTCATAAGTTGCTAATAGAAAATTATATTAATTTGTGAGATGTTTCAATGTTCGATAATTTTTCGATTTTTCGTTTGGATAATACTATTGCTACTAATACTTATGTAATACTTTCTTCTTATATATATGTAATTTAGATATAATTTTTGATAGGTTATTAAAGTGTTCACATAAACTGTATGTATAGATTAATTATACAAGGAAAACAGTTGAAACAGTAAGAAGATAACATTTAGTAGCTATTTCAAAGCAGAACGGTCACTGCTAAAGAGCATCAACAGTCCCCAAAACGTTCTAGAACACAAATATTTTGTATATTCTTAACATTAAAAAGTAGAAAATATTTGCGCCTTTAATTTCTAATAGTTTGGATTACCTTCTTACCCTTTCATATTTTTAATCTATTAGTTTAAGAAATCAAATTTCTCTTGCAATTAGTTACTCCGAAATCATCTAAAATATTGTTACTTAAAGTACAAGATAAAGAGAAATACGTATTGTACTCGTTGAAGTTAGATAATTAATTACTTATGGACTTACGAATGCTGTGACTTATAGTAAACATTTTTTATTTAACCACAGTGTCCTCGGTGATGTCCTTATCAGCAACCGGTCTTTACAAAGGCTTTGACCGCGCGTTTTGCGTCCGGATGAAATCTACGTTAACAAAAAGAGGGTGCCATTTTAAATCGTCTGGTTATAGGGTAAATATTGACTATATAATCACGTGGTTTCTATAATTTCCAAAAATTAACTGAAGAATATAAAATAAAGTTTATTCTAAATTTAGAACAATTTAAAAAGTGGAAATTTACTATTAATACCTTTACATTCCATTTAATCTACACACGTTTAAAATAAGGAAAATATTCCCATTTGAAGGTTTAATTTCTTATCTTTTTTACTTTAAAATTCAAAAATTAGTGAAAAGATTAAGTTTAAATGTTTCAATTCTTGTTCTCATATGTTTCTATATTTTACGAAGATTACAAAGAAATTTTAAACAATTTTAAACGAATACTTTTCATTGTTAATATTTATATTTATAATGTTAGTATTTCTTAGAATTCTAATACAATACTTTATAAATCCATTCTTCAAAGGTAAATTTTGCTATTCTCTAATTAAAAAAAAGGTTCTTTTTATTAAACTTTCAAATGGCACTGAATTCTAAACTCCTTGCCCTTCTCTTCGTCTTGATCAGAACATTTTACAAATGAAATACATTCAATTAACGAAACCCAGGATCTTAATTGACTATTATACATTCAGGTCGTACTGTTACTGTGCCGTTTGAGACCACAGTATACGTTTAGCCATACAAGAAAGTCCGCGCCGCCATTGATGGGCATGGTTGGACTGGCAATCGCACTTCCTCCGCCAAGTGTGCACGAAATTCGTCTCGAAACTGACATGTTCGTCACTCGAATCAGTTTCGATTTTCGGATAGCACATTGTGAGCCTAAGTAAGTGAATAATGACAATTTTACTGATTTATTTTATTTATTCAATCACGAAGATTAGGTACCTATTAATTATTTTAAACAAGATTTTTATATTTTTATTCCTGCAATTCAAATGATATTTCTATAAAATTATTTTCTTCCTAGGGTGTCTGAATTATTAGATTATACCGCTGACGAATTAACAGGGAAAAATCTTTATACATTGTGCCATGGGGAAGATGCGAATCGTCTTCGGAAATCGCATATCGATTGTAAGTATTTCCATTAGTTTATTCCTTTTTCTTTAATTTCAATTTAAATTCCTATAGATAAAAAGAGTGCTACTTTAAGATATTTAAATAAGTTGCCTTGTTTTGTAATAATTTGATAAACTCATATATAATTTGATAAGCTCATCACTGTCGCCTTTTGAATAAATGAAAAATAATAATGGTAAATGTTTGATATACATGACATTTATGGTAAATACAATAAAATGAAATTTCAAATATTTCTAACTCTTATTCCTGTAAATTTAAATACTATTATCTTTTAAATATTACTAGAAAATGCTATATACTTTACCGTTGAGTGTAATTCACGATTTTTAAAGAATTCAATTGATTTGTTTTTAGTGATCAACAAGGGGCAAGTGTTGACACATTATTATAGGCTGATGAACAAAAGCGGAGGATACACATGGCTACAAACTTGTGCCACTGTCGTGTGTAACACAAAAAATGCTGAAGAACAAAATATCATCTGTGTCAATTATGTTATAAGGTAATTCACTAATTTCTCATAACATTAATCTCCCCATTACCCTATTACAACGTGATCATTCAAACAAATAATGAATAAGAAAGTATATTTCTAGACAGATTTTATTAAAATTTAAGGCGTTAGGTGAGAATGGTAATATATTATTATTCTTTCTCAGTGGTCGTGAATATGAAAATTTAATCATGGATTGTTGCCAATTGGAAGACGGTGTGATGGGTGTCAAGCGCGAAGACGCCGCTGGAAATGATCCAGAAAATGGATCGCCGGATGCCGACAGGGGAGGTAAGCGTCTCAGAACTGTATACTTGAATAAAATTTCTTACACTAATAAATTTCGTAGGCATACCAATATATAAAACTCCCAATTGCTAGTAGTCTTCATCCATGAGAAATCTTTTTTCATCAGCATCCTCTAGAACACTGTATTCCTTCGAAGTATATCACGTGTCTGTAAATTGAACAAAATTTAAACAAATATAAAAAAAGGAGCACTAAAAATTGTAAGTGAATAAACGTAATAATACTCTTTGTCAGATTCTTCATTTTTAATGAAATAAAAAATGACATAGCATACGAACAATATCCACACTTTAATCTGGTTTTTGATTTGATGATTTCGATGTGTATTTTTTTCCTTCTCCACACCATCAGAATGTGCAGCTGAACAAATTGTTAGAACTATACCAGTACTAAGACACTATCTCACAAATATTTCAAACATCAGTTGAAAACTGATCCACCAACATTCACGTTACGTTATAACGTGTTATAACACGTTTCAGAAGGTAGAAGTCGTGGCGGGCCACCAAACCAGCATCAAGAGCACTCGCACAGGTCTCCACCGGAGGATCGGGAGGACACCCGCGGGTCCGAGAGCGAGAAACGGGGCAGCAGACACCACGACAACATGACACAGTTGCAGCAGGACTCCCAGACCAGTGTAGGCAACATCAATACACTGGTAGTAAAATTGCGCGGGCACAAACGGAAGTTGCACGAGGAAGATAGCAGCTCGAATGAGGAGGAGGAGGATGAGGAGGACTCAACGGCGAAGGTGGCAAACAACGAGAGAAATCACGCGCTCAGCCCGGCTCCCTCGAACCACTCCATCTCGGGTGGTGACCAGGCGCTCTGTTCATCCAGTCCAAAGTCGAGACGAGTGGAGGACAGGCCGACCAACGCGGATAGCACCGGCACTTCGGTAAAAGATCTGGAGCAAGCGATGTCTAAGCATCTTCCGGCCACAAACCTGAACAAATCCCATTCACCGACGCTCCATCAGCCCACGGACTTCAGCACGGACGCGCTGTTGAAGCAACAGCAACAGAGGAGCACAATACAGTGGATCGGCGCACATCATCACCTAGGACATCTGAGTCCCCAACAATCAACCACTGCCCCTTTGCCGGCCTCTGCCCTATTGCGGCAGCTGTACGCTAACAGGGAGAGCGTGATACGAGCAAACGTCCACGGAATCACTTCCAGTGGCAGCACTCGTACCCCTTCGTCAGGCGGAACTTACTACACCGGAGACACTACGCCTAGTGGTCCTCTACCTACTCCGCCTGGATCAGAGGGGTCCAGCACCTACGGTGAGCACCAGTTCGTCCTGGCTACCCACAACCAGAAGGGTACAACGGGAACGAGTTGCGCAGATGCCTTCACTAGTTTGGTATCCTCCTACTCCACCGCGGGCGGTTATACGGTTGACTATCATTCCGCGATGACCCCGCCATCATCGGTCTCGCCCCGGGACAAGCAGCAACAGCAACAACAGCAACAGCAGCAGCAACAACAACAGCAGCAGCAGCTGCATCCTGTGAACGTGATCAGTAACTACGAGGGCTCGTCCGCTTACACTGATCCCGTGTTACGCCACCAGTACGAACCGGCGCAACCGTTGCCTTTGAAACCACAAGTGTATTCAGCTGCCGTTCACCCGAGCGCGTTGGATGCTGCCGCGGCGTACGCGTCCGCGGGACTCACCGAACAGACGCAGTTCTATCATCATCCAGCGGCAGGCGCCGGGTTCCACATCTACCACCCGACTAACAAATCGACGACGAACGGCTGGTATAGTTCGACGTCCTAGTGGCGTAGTCCCGCGCGCGACACTCGTGTACTTAAGTAACTGAAATCGAGCCCAAAGCCCTCACATGCATATCAGTGATATCGTATTCACCTCGACGTGTCTCTGTACCCGTTCCCTGCCCCTAAACCCCTCACCACGATGTCTCTTCATCGCTCGTTTCGTTTGTGTTAGTTTCTCTTCTTTATCGGTGTCAATCGCGGAGGGAGCTTGCAAGTACCTTTTTGGGTAGTGATTTAAATTTATGTAACAGATGTTCGAATATTATCTTCTCGCGGAAAAAAGTAGTCTTGACTCGTCAACCGTCACGCAACTCTTGTATCTGTGAAACTATTCGTTAAAAGAAGAGGGTAATGAAAGTTTGACCCTCGTACTACTTTCTTTTTCTAGCTCCGTAAATCGATTGGAATTACCTCTTAACAAAGTAATCTAGCAAAAAATTGACCATTAACTAAACTAGAAATCCGGTCACCACTGTGTGAAGACGCATCTTATAAAATCCTAAATATCGGATTAATTAAAATGAATTCGAATCAATTGGAATATATTACGAGAATTTGAGTGATCAACATATTACAGATTTAAATTTCGTTAACATTAACTGTAAACAAACCAAGACAGAGGCTTCTCAAGGCCATCAAAAACCTGATATTAAAAAAAATTATTTCTTGAATTTAAAAATTAAAGGCATTTAAGAATCGCATATAAATTATTACATACACAGATTAGTTGCTTCACTTCATGATTTAATATTTTCAGAGTTAACGGAATGCAAAGCGCTCACAATTTTTGGTCAAGGTATGTGACGCATCTCAAGTAATTTGATCACGGCTTTCCATGCCGAAATTAACGCTCAATGTTCCACATTAGGTTTGTTATTGGTCCCTCTAATTTTAAGTCCAATTCCACCCAAAAAGCGCTCGCCTAAATTGTGATCTCCCCTCGTTCGCCACATGTTCATTTCGTCCCCGATCTCGACCCCCAAATTCCCATTCCCCCCTGTCCACGGAACTTCTTGTTCCTCCAGCTCCTCCATTTCTCCTTCATCGAACACAGCGATTGTACGGGCGCATCCAATGTGCCAACCGGACTGTAAAGAAAAAGAATCGAAGGAATCACTGCTCTCTATCTCGACTATGTAGAACGACTTATTGTAATATAACAAAAATAAATTATTATGTATGTTGACAATTCGGAGATATTCGCGTGAACATGGAGAGAGAGATAGGTGTTTACCAATGACCGCCGTGCGTGTTCGAAACGAGGAAAGGAACGACAGAACGACATCGATAACGACAACGCCGGTGACGTGTGATGCTCAATGGGGATGAAACGATGAAAAACGGGGATGGCCATTTCAAATACAGCCGTGTTCAGTCACGCAGCGAAGGCTAACGAAAGAAGAGAGAGAGTGAGAGAGAAAGAGTGAGAGAAAGGGGAAGAGAGAAAGAGAGAGGGGGAGAGAGAGAGGCAGAGAG